TCTGTCAATGACTAGAAGATAACCACATATAAGCTACCAATTAAGCTATCAATTAAGAAAGTTTTTTTTTACGTTTTCAGTGTGTCTCTGTGTTTGGTAAATAGACCTGAGCTCTTGTAGCTCCGCCTCCTGATCTGGGAGCATCATTTCCATTTAAAGGAACACACACAAACTGTGCATTTTTGCTCACCCTCAAAAAGTGACAACTTTAACATGCTATATAAAGATATTTGTGGTGTATTTAGAGCTAAAACTTCACACACACACACACTCTGGGGACATCAGAGCCTTATTTTACATCTTGTGAAAAGGGCATTATACCACCCCTTTAAATCTCATCTTTGATCACCAAAATGACATATTTAAACGATTTTTCCTGTGGGAATAATTAATTCATGCATGCCAAAATAGCTAGAATGTAACTCTACACCCTTGCCTCATTTAGTAGGCTATACGTAGAACGTAGTATATGTTGAACCATGAATATGCTCTCCTGCACAATGGCAAGTGGAAATACTGGTTTAATTCAGCCATATATGATAGAACCAGAAACGGATTTAGAAGAAGTGAAAGATTGAATTATACAGGCTCGTCTAGTCGATGCTTCGGAATGGTGATGCGTTTTATAAATCGCTCTGTTCGACGTCGGACACATAACAGTAATTAATGTGATTAGCCTTTGTCTTTACAATGTTATCAAACAGCTAATGATGTGTTGCTAATGTCACAAAAACCATGTTCCCATTCATGTCTCAGAGACATCTTCCTTCTAACAACCAGCACCCTTAGAAACGCCATGAACGTCAATGGAGAAACGCACATAGTTTTCATCATAACATTGTAATATACATCATATTCATAATTCATCCGCTATATTGCTAAATGTAGCCGATTTTTCATATCAACAGAAAATTATATGGGCATAACCTGTCTTCTCTTGAGACTCCCCTGCTTCAGAGCGGTCATAGTTAATGATATGCCTAAGCCCGCCCCCCTCAAAGCATGATTGGTTATAAGGTAGTTTTTGTGACGTCAGAAACACCAGCGATTTCGAACAGTGTTTTTGAGACTATCTTTGATTCACTGCAGTTTTCAGGAGAAAATACTCAGCAATGGTGTGACTTATGAACAGTGTTGGATAAGTTCTAAAAAAGTAATTAATTACTAGTTACTAATTACCTCTTCAACAGTGTAATTAGATTACTGTACTAATTACTCTCTAAAAAGTATTAAATTACTTTTAATTACTAATTACTTTCAAAATCCCATATCATTCTCAACCAGCTGAATAATACAAGGATAGACATGAATCTGTTTTAATTCTTTCAAATAAATACTATAAAATTGCATGAATTATCCTTAAACTGACCAAGGTGGAGAAGGTTACATTATAAAAACATACTTTTTAACATCAGACAGTATATTTTGATGTTAAACCCACTATTTTTTTATGTCTGATCTCATTACATTTCACACTTTTTTCATATTTTACAATAATTCATACGAATTTGTACGAGTGCGGTCCTACGATTTAGACACCTCATAAAATGTATACGAATCGCTGTGAGATCGGATTGATCCATACACAGTAGCTATTTACCTCAATTACATCAGAAGTAACTGTAATTAAATTACAGATAAATGAAGAGTAATCCCTTACTTTACATTTTCAAGGGAAAAGTAATTAAATTACAGTAACTAATTACTTAGTAATTAGTTACACCCAACACTGCTTATGAATTCGCACATGGTTTGTCTTAAAGCATGTTAAAAACACCACATAGACATAAAAACAACATTTAAAAACTTGATTTTCACCACAAGGGGTCTTTGATTTAAATATTACTAGCCTACATAGTAGTTAAATGCTGCGTTCCAGGCAGGTTTTTGAGCACGTAAATCACGACTTCAAACCACGACTTACGACTTTGTAGCATTCCAGGTCATTCACTCCAAACTACCTAGATGTAAACAAACCAGCATGGCGAACCTTACGGAGCTCACGCGCATTTGTAATAATTTCTAACGCCAAATGTGCCTACTCCTTGTTTATTTGTGGGAAACTGAGGAGGAAAAATAGCGCATGAGGCACGATAAGCTGTTATACCTTTTATTTTACTTAATTTGTATATTTGGAAATGTATTTGGTATTAATTTATCCTTACACTCAATGGACTGAAAACTAGTTAACGTTATATTGTCCTAATGTGTATTCTCACCGATTACCGCCTGCAGAAACACTGCATCCGTAGGGGCTGTCGGGCTATGTGACGTCAGAACTCGTAACTGGGAGGACATCGGTCTAGTACGAGTTCACGGGTGGGAAGTCACGGGTTTGACTGCCGTTCCAGTGCACTTTCACGGGTATAAGGTTGGAAAAACACAAGTTACAGGTTGCCTGGAACGCGGCAAAAGACGCGTTGTATAGTGAGATCATCATCAACAAAGCTGTCGCTGACAGGACTCTGCTCTGTTTTTACAAGCAAATATCCATCAGTTTCATGTATTTGCTGAAAGCATGCGATTGGCACCTCGGCTCCTCACAGGTT